TGCCTACTATGTCAATATTTTTGCGTTCCATTTCTTCCTTAACAATATCTAATTTTCCTATATTCATGATTCTCACATTCCATGTCCCAATCACTAGTGTCTGCTCACAACTGTTTCTTCCTTTGTATTTCTATACCTGAAAGCTCAGCCTCAGTTGCCCTTTCTGTTATCTACATGTGTTCTTTTGTACACAGGGTTTTCAGAAGCCTGCTATTTCAGAAGTGGATGGCCAATCCTTCTTCCCAGTCTGTCTTAATCTGAATGTTCAGATTTAGAGATGTATCAGACAGACCAGCATTTTACAGAGAAGTGAAAGATATATCCCTTATTGTGCAGTTAACCATTCGTATCAGTGACTAACAACTTTACTGTTGCCCAAATGAAGTTCAAGTTGGTGGTTTTTTGGTTTTTGGTTGTTGGTTTTTTTTTTTAAGTTCCTTTAGTCATTTTTCCACTTTAGATGAAATGAGTGATCAGCAGGGGTACAAGTATAATCTTCTTGCTTTTGTTGCTCTAATTTCAGTTCTTAAACAGAAAATTCCCTAACATTTTAAACATAATCTATAAGACACAGGAATAAATACCTTTTAACAGACAATATTAATCTTTCTTAGGAAAGCAGAAAGTGGTTTCTTAAAGTATTTCGCATGATCGGGTTGTTGATTTAAAGAACCTGGCTATTTTAGAGACAACATATAAGTCATTATTCTTGCTCTTTAGTAAATATCCATCATTACCTTTATAAATATTTACTCAGTTCTGATGGATTCAAATTTAATTTTATCCTTTCTCTGGGGATAGTTTCTCATAGTAATGCAAAAGAGTATCTTATTTTTGATGGGATATTAGGTCATGATTCTCAACAGTAATAATTCTAGATTGGGAATAATTCTACAGTTAAATAGAAATAATTTTACATTTCACCCTACTTGAACTAGTACATATACTTGGATTACTTTTTTTATATTATAAATAACTTGATCTTATTTAGAAAAAAATATTTAAGTGGGGAAATTTTTATTTTAAAGATATAATCACTTCTTTTCTATAATTATTGATATAAAACCTTAATCAAATACATTGTTAAGATATCCATATTAGTTTGAAGATGTCACAAAAGCTATTAGTTTATATTAGGGACTTTATAGAGTATCTTCTTCTTATTGCAATAATCAAACAGTTCTTAAAAAACAACCTAAAATGTTTGAAGAAATAATAGTTAATCCCAAAATTACATTTGGAGGTTAAAAATCAAACTAGGTGAATACAGGAAACACGGTGGTGACATTCAGAAGAGCAATTTTCTGCAGCACAGAATAGCCATAAACTTTAGTGCATACTAACCCTGCCCACAGTTATTAGAGATGGGTGCACTTAGCCCAGACATCCTGCTGCCATAAAACATACAGGGACAGCAGCAAGCAGTGACAGTCCCTGTGAAGGTTGGAGTGAGTCAAAAAGCCAAAACCAAACAATGTGAGGCACAATGTGATGAAGACTGAAGGTGCTTCGTCATTATGCTTGGTGATTTATACCCGTCCAGATATGGTGATGCTGTAAGACCCAATGAAGCTTTTCGTTTTCAGTTATTATGAATCTTCTAGGGAAAGAGAGATGCACTGAAAATAAAGCATGAAAATTCTTGTGATTTCATGAATAATAGAAATTTATTAGAAATAAAATTTTATCATATGTTAACCAAACATATTTATAGTTAATGATGTTTGAGCTTTCTTATTAAAGCTGAGCTGAGTTAGAAGACTGCTCTCTCATCTAGCTTCAGAAATGTTTGATAAAGCATATATATAATGATACCTAAAAATAAAAAGAAACCCCTGAGTTCCAAATTGGAAATGCTGTTGATTGGAGAGGACCAGACAGTGTCTCAAATGCATAGTGACTTATGTATAACAGAATGAAGTGTTGGTCCAGTCCTCAAAGTCTTTGGTATTTTAGGCTTATTATTGTTAATTGTACCAATCATCTATTGAGTATAGCTGTCTTTATTGTTGATCCTTTATTTTACCGAACATGATGTCCTTTTCTACAGATTGGTGCTATTACATTGTCTAGCCTTCACTTGCATATGTGGTGAAATTCCAAACCAAAGTATATGAAAGGCAATAAAATCTCTGATGGAATAGAGGTTAATGAGAACTTATTGGGGTGGGGCGAGTAGTTGAGGAGGGAATGCAGAAACAGTGGATAGATAATGAGCACTGCATTAGAACAGATAAGGGGAAGAACTTTCTGAGAGGATTATTTGATTATTCTATGTATGAGAACAATTTGGATCAAGTGTTGCATTGCAGGTGGACTGCATGGTGGAGAGAAAGTATGCAACAATGAATTTAAAAAATAAAAAAAGGAACTGAGGTGTCAGTCACTATTTTTTTTTTTTTTTTTACTCCATGAAACTACTAAGAGCTATAATAAATCCTTTATGTAAAGTCAGGAGCCTAAAAGGCCACATTGAAAAGATGCAAGTATAGAATAACAAAAAAAAATACAAACACTTTTTACCATTCCCATCTTGTACTATTAGGTAGGAAAAGAGGTACCTATAAAAAAAAAGGAAATATAAACATGTAAAACTTGAATATATGGGCATTTGCACTTTTGAAGTTTAGGAACGCTGGGTAAGAAAAGAAACCGAAAATTGGTCTGGAACCAGTGAAATTCTAAGGGCATCGCAGAGACTGATACGGGATACATTGTTTACAAACCATCTAGTGGAAGCACCTGCAGAAATTAACACCACTATTACTTCAACTACCATTGTAAAAGTTAAAAGAAGTTATAGATATCAAAGGACTAGAATTGAGTAGCCTTCCTAGGAGTAAAAATATAAAGTCACTTACATTTAAAACTCAATTATCGTGTAAAATATTTATTATAGAAAAAGCTATCTATCAGAATTTATATAAAGGAACCATTTGGAATGCAGCATAATGAGATAAAATATGAAAAAAGAGTTTAAGGGAAATGAGAAATGGAGTGAGAAGATCCAACGTATGTTTAATAGAAGTTGTTTAAGAAAATATTATATATTATAGGAAAAAGGTGATTAGCTTATTGATGTCTGAAAAGATTCACTGAAACTCTTTCAGAATTGAAGGATATATGCACTAGGCATGGATAAATACATTGATTTTTACAAAGGATACATAAAAAGAATCCACTAAGCACATCATAATGAAATGACAGAATGTCAATGGTAAAAATTGTAAATGTTAACCAAATGTGAGGGCACATGATCCTCCAAATGCATGACATTTGGACTGACAGCAGTAACCAAAGTCAGAGTAAGTTAATAGCTTCAAAATGTTGAACTATAATTAATAGTGCTCTAGCGTTCTGCATCTAGTTGAATTCTCCTTCAAAAATAATCACAAATAAAAACATTTTCAAAATCTGATAGATTAATAACAGGCAAACAAACGAAAGTTAACTACCCAAGAATTTATTTCAGTTAAAAAGATGAGATGTAAGAATCAAAGATGAAAAAAATAATTATTTTATTAACTTGCTCTTTCATTAAATACAGTCTTAAACACCCAATTATTTACATTCTCAAATCATGAAAAGTTTTTTCTTTTAAACAAAGCCACTAACAAGAGAGGGGGAAATCCTTTTTATTTTCAATTTGGGCATACCTAAATCTTTTTATTTTCAATTTGAGTATATCTAAACCTTGAACAACGTTATGCTAAGTAAAATAGGAAGTATGTAAAGAATGAAATATTATGGAACCTTGAAGAATATTAACTATAATATGGTGTTTATTATGACAAAAAATTAGAGGAAAGGCATAACATTTAAAACTTTTTTTTTTACTATTATGTAAACTGGATAACAATGCATTGGTAGTAAATTATAAGGCTCTTGTACATACGGTTGCTATGAGTTGCAAGCAACTCGATGGCACATAAAAACAACAACAATGTACCCAAAATGCTAAGAATCATTTTTGTTGTGACCATAACTTATTTTACCCATTCTTATATGTTTCAAGGGGGCCTCGCTGGTCTAGTGGGTGAGGAGTTGTGTTGCCAACCCAATGAAAGGGGTTTGAATCCACCAGCTGCTTTGTGGGAGAAAGATGTCCGTCCACCTTGAGATTTGCAGCCACTGAGTCAGTTCAACCTTTATGGGACATAGCAGCCACAAGAACTTCATTTTTAAAATCCCAGCATGAGATTAATAGTGCAAGAACATAAGAACTTTTAGAAACATCTCTACCACTGGTGGATTTGTTTCCATCTCATAACTACTTTATAGGACAGGGTAGAAATACCTCACATAGTTTTCAAGATTGTAAGTCTTTTCAGAAGCATGCTCCCACAGAGCAGCTGATGAATTTGAACTGCTGAGGTTTTTTAATTAGCATTCAAACTTTTTAACTACAGATACTTTAATATGATTTTCATATAATCAACAACATGTTTATATTTTTCAGGCAAATCTCTCCTCTCCATCCTCTACAACATCTGAGAGTCAGCTGGTACGTATCCTCTTCCTTATTCAAATGTAGACTAAACAAAATTCTAACCTTTCTAAATTGTTTCACCTGAGTAATAACTAATTATAATTTTTTTCATATACTTGACTAATAAAACTTTACACATACTTTACTAAATTCCAATATGGCTCTTGTATAAATTATAAACATACTCTGCCATTAAGTTATAGCTCAGTAACACTGGCATAGTAGAATAATTATGATGAGAAGAAAGTTGCTCTAGCATTTTGAGGAGGAAAGACTACTTCCTAATGGAATGAGTCAGAATAAGGTTCAAGAGCAAGTCCATTCTTGATAAAATATGTTCTGATCTGGAGGAAAATGAGACATCCAATACTTCATGCAATTGAATGGTCTAGTCTAGAACAAAGCAACAGGAACACAATGAGAGCTACAAACATGAACCATGTTAGTAATTTTATAGTTTTAATATCCATGTTAAAAAAAGTTGAAGATAAACTTTGATCAAAATAGCTGAATGTTCTTCTTGTTTTATGTCAAATGATCTAGCTGTTGGTTCTGACTTGACAACAGTGAGCTAGAGTTATTAATAATTAACAAATATCTTACTATTATCATGCTGAAATAACCACAGAATGACAGTAAGACTCTTGTTTGTAATCCTGAAAATTTATAAAAAGCATAGGTTGATTCTTGAAAAAGACAAATTTCATAAAACCACTTGGACATTTTAATATTCATACTTTAGTGTCTGTGTGTAGTGAGTGCATTTTGCAAGTGTACATTTATGCAATAGGTTTAGAATAGTAGAAAATAATATAATTGAAAACAAACTTGGAATGGAGTAGAAGACGCACTTTATACTTCTTGCTCTGACCCTTTTGGACTGATTCTGGAATTCAGAGCCTTAATTTCTCTCCTGAACAATGACAGCATTCTATTACAGCTTCCTGAGATCTCTCATGCTGTGAGTCTGCTGTGAGTCTATGGTTGCTAACACTGTGAAGTGAAGGAGTTGCTATGGAAACAAAGACTGCAATAACATTATTAAGTTGAACAGTTTTCTACTTTTGACATGGCAATATTACAATTTTAATATTAAACTAATGATATGCATATTTCTTGAGAAATCTATTTTTAACATTTTCATATGTGTGCAATTCCAGTGAACCTAGTATTGTAAGATATGGATAGTAAGATGTTGGATGACTAAATAAATGTGTTGCTTAAGATGTAAAATATAATTAATGGCTTAATATTTGAAGAAACTTCTTTCAAAAAGGAAATTTATATGTGGTGATTTTATAACACGAATCTAATTTAGCTTAATTAGTGAAAAATATTTCCTAAGAGGATTTTGAGCTATTGTTGCTAGTTGTTGTCCAACCAACTATAACTTCTTAATGACTCTATTAACAGATTGAAACTTTACCATATTTTTAAACATTCTCATAATCTTAATCATACTCCAGCCCACTGTTGCAGTCTTATGCCAATGTATCTGCTCAATCCTTTCTCTGGAGGTTCAGCTGTAGATGGCACACAGCAATTACTGCCTTTCCCAACATGTTCCCCCCCGCCCCCAAGGAATATCCCTTCCTGCCATTCACCATCCTTAGCTCCAAAGAGTACCCTGGTTGCTTTTCCTCCAAAACAGATTTTTCTTGTTCTGTTTTAGGTGTTTGTTTTTCCTTTTTCTTTCTTTCTTTTTTTTTTTTTTTGGTTTGTTTATTTTGGTTTGGTTTTGTGGTTTTGTGTTTTTGTTTTGTGTTTTTTTTCCCCTGTCCATGGTATGTTTAATACTCCTCACCAATACTATGATTCAAAGGCTCTGATTCTTCTTCTTTGTATAACTTTCAGAAGCATAAGAAACAATTAAAAATGTTATGGCTTGAATTGGGTACACATTAGTCTTCAAATTGAAAGCATTTCTCTTTAACATTTTAAAGAAGTAGCTGATGAGAAAAGATAAGAGAAGAGGGGAGTGGAGGGATGGGAAAAGGGAGAGGAGATTAAAGTAGGAAAATAAGAGAAGAAAAAAATAACAAGAGCCTATCCCATCTCAGGAACTGATTTGAGGCCTTGAACATCAATGAGCAAAGACCAAATGAACTGTGGGATGATATTAAAGATATTCTCCATGAAGAATGCAAAAGATCATTACAAAGACAGA